TTTGAAAAATTGGATTTTTCATATGTTTTACTATTGATCGACAAATTTCGGCCAATACTTTTTGGTAGTGAGTGTAACAGAATGAGCCTAACACGAATTGTCAATGTAGTTAGGGGTTTTGCACTATACGGCTTGCGACAAGGAGTGACAAACCTGACGTGGCAAGTGGCTTTTTTCATTGTTATTCATTCTATTGTTTTATTCACTTTTTCTCTCCGCATTCAACGTATATTAATATGGCTAAAATTGTATGGGATGCTTATAAAGGTAGGTATGTAATTGCAAATATAATCAGCTTTTTTGTCAGCACCAATGGTTACAATAAACGCTCCGATCCCGTCAATGGAAGAGAATGTGTGCGTGCAAAAGTTTCAGTTTCTTGCAATAATATTATGCCATTCATTAACTCACAGTGATACGCTCGAGGCATTTATTTTTTTCCACCAAGTGTCATGTCGACTTTATTAAAGTACTTAGTTGACGCTTTCCCGTATAATGTGCAATTTGGTAACAACGTTTATGCTCAACTGCACCACCACCAACTGAAAAATAAAAGACAAAGGATCCATCCAAGAAACAATGAAGGAAGTTGACAATTGTTTATGATCACGTAATACAAAAACCATTCACATGATCGGTTTCCTCAAACTGATCCTCACTCCTGCATCTGAAAGTGAAAATAATTAAAAGTTGGAGCATCGTCGATTGTAATACACAGATGACATGGGTATAGATTATCTGTGCCAGAATGTGAGATTGTTCGCCGAAGCAATTGATGCAGACTAGTATATAAATGTTAGTAGATAATACGTAATTTCTGTGTGCAAGTCGTCATTATAGTTAGTGTGAGACTTTATTATCTCACTACCCCTTTTTTCCCCTACTCTAAATTCCATTTATTTATCATATGGGTTTTGTTTGTCACAGCTTATAACTTATAGAGCATATATAATATAATGAAAGCTTTCAGTCCGCATAATCGCGGATACATAAAAAACGAAAAAGAAAATCGAGAGAAATAGTTGTGCAAATATTATCCGAAGAGAGAAGAGAGAAAATGATTCTGAGAGAAATGGTGGTATTTACAATATAAGATATATTTATATAAACAAAGATTCCGTTTAACGATTACATATATATGTTCTGACTGACGCTATTAAATCATGATTGTTGTGCGGTTTGCGCAAGGATTCTGAAACTTCTGTCAAGGTCGCAATGTTGCACCTAAGCAAGGATATCGTTCCGTTAGATTGTATTACATAAAGCCGTTCAGTATCTCATTGTGTTGGTATCAATTTCAAGTCGGGTTTCCTGCATGTTGCATCCCACTTACCAGAACGTTTGCAGTCTTTAACGTACTCAAATAGAGTAAGTTTATTCCGTTCGAGATCAAAGGATTAGATATCGAGTACAAAACGCCGTATTTGTCCCTACACAGTGCAAATCAATCATCTAAGCCCATCAAACATTGACATTCGGAATACTAAATTACAACTTACAGTCCAAAGCGAGATATGTCGATATAGATACACCTGAGCAGAATAGGAACGCTGCTCATGTTCAACGTGTGTTCAGGAAATTCTTTGAGCACGGTCTCATCAGTGACAATAGTTATACCTTCTGAGGTAGCTGTATAGGAAAAAAATCGGGAAGTGGCAGGGTCTAATCTGTCGGTTTGAATGCAATGATTGATAAAATAATAATATATTAACAATGACTGGCGAATAAATAAACGAATAATCGGTGTCATTATAAAATAAGTTCTCCTCTTCCTTTTTTCCTTTTTCCTTTTTTTTTTTTTTTTACCTTTCTTGATTCTGTAGCAAATCAGGATAGAATATAACCTTCAAGAGAATTGGTCTCACGCTTTCGATGTACTCCCTACAAATTCCGGACACAACTTAGTACGACATATACGCATGTCAGCCAACACACATCTAAATCGATTAACTTGGAACATGGTTGAAGTCACATATCCAACAGTTCCAACACTTCCAACCCTCACCTGTTCAACCCAACCATTTTCAGTCTATGCGGAGTGACACGCTTGGTACACTGTCGTCTAACCTCAGCCGCAATTTCTTCATCGTTTGTTATTTCTCTTTTTCTCATTGTTCCCTGATCTTCAAATTCAACCATCATTCCAGAAAAAAAGGGGTTGTCCGAATGCATATGCGAACTATCGCCTACCATAATCACTGGCGAATCAAAAGGCCGTTCAGCTGTCAAAGGTACTGCAAAGGACATCTGCTCTGGTTGAAATGGTTCATCGTCGTCTTCGGCTGGTGGTGAGGGTACGCTTCGGTCAGTGGGTATCAAAGATGGGATTGATGAGAATGAAGGCGAACCGTTGGTGAATGTGAACGTCGGACAGAGGGTTTGCATAACTAATGGAAGATTTTTTTCCTTTACCTAAATTAAGAATACAAGCAAATATATAATTAATTACTGTGCTACTGGATTTAATTACACTTTTGTTATTTCTTTATACAACTGCGCAAATTGTCGGATTATCTGCAATCCATGACGCATTGTTTATACGATGATGACATTGTTGATCATAATCAAAAATGGAGGGTAATGTAGAAAGATGTACTTACCAAGGCAATGTCCTCTTGATAAGTAGAAAGATAGAAGACAGACACACCAACTCTAGAAAGAAAATATGATATATCGTTTATTCTTTTCCCTGAATTGTCTATTAGAAAATGCGGTTAGAATGAATTATCAGTAATGTACGTATCTTGTAGGATTATGAACTGTTAATGCCGGTACTGTTTTCCTTCTACCCTATATCATTAAACATACCCAGACCCTCATCACCAAGCACCAAGGCCCTAAACAAATCATCCATAATCTCGATATTGTTTCCTTCTCTAAATCTCGCAAAATCTCTCTCTACTGTTTCCGCATCTGCAACAATAGAGATTTCAACTGCGGTTTCTGTGATAGAGAATATGGGTTGATCATCAGGAGGAAAGACAATATTGCGAGTGAGCGATTGGGCAAATAAATGAAGAGAGGCTTTGGGGATAGAGAGTAATCGAAGGCGGTGAGGAAGTATCGTTATCGACATAGGAATCGGTTTTCTTCGTAATTGTCCGAGTAAAAGAAAGATGACTGTCTATAAGAATCAATAAATGTTGTTGCAGAGATGGCAACGATATAATTCACAAGTTATGTCGTATTCTCGAGGAATTGTCAATTTATTGTTAATCAAGACAATCTAATCCAGCACAAGGACCATGCGTTAGTCGTAAAAAAATAATGTAAGGAATGTTGTTGTGCAGTATGAAAAAGTGTCACTGAGAGGGGAGAACAAAAGCCGATGGGGGAAATTGTGCCAGGGTTGGGTTTTTGAGCTTGTTGCGAACTTTGACACAATACGACATACTGCATTGGAGAGCGAATAGTGAGTACAACAAAAATACTAATAATAGTAGAAATTGGAATAATTGGGAATAATAATGATTAGTATTATAATAAATAACAATCTATTATTGTTATAAGTATTTATGTAACAGGCGCCTTTCACCGTTTATTTATCATAACCAATTTATGATGTCACTACCCGAATTCTCGGCCAGAGCACACACAATGATTGGTCCCGAAAACACCGAGTTGCATCAATAAAGATATAGAAAGACACAACATATTATTTAATACGTTGAAGAACGAGATGAATGCATGTGCTCAAAGAGAACTATTTATGCGGGCGTCTCTTTTCGAACAGATACATCGAGCTAGACCTGTTTATAGGCTGACACGGCTTAAATGAAAATCACCAAACATATTCCGAAAAGTAACGTTTTTTATCCTCATTAAATACGCTTTAACAACAAAATATGCAATCTACATCTACTGTAACCTATACTTTATCTACGCCACACGAACGAATATACATCCAGTCAGAGTGCATCAGTTCTATAAACAGCCCTTGCACTAACTCACTCTCAACCCTGTCTTGCATGCAACTACATTTACTTGTCACATGTCGCGTGCATCTATTAATTTTACTCGCCTTGAGATCGAAAGGCAAAATTATGCAAGATCATGCTGTATCTGTTTCGCGATCACTGCCACATTTAGAAACTTTTGTGTCGGCGGGTATAAGACATTAAGATGTTAAAGTCTTGCATGATGAATTTCTAAGGTACCTAATTTTACCACCTTTCCCATTATTCCAAGCCACTAATTCTGAATTAGGAAATTATATTACGCGGATAGTGGACGAAAAGATAGTGCGGGTCGGGGTTATTGTTGATGAATGGATCAATTGATCTATTTATATTATAATAGGACACGGGGGAATGCACGACTCCAACTAGACATCAAACAATTAAGCGGTATGTAAAGGACCTTATTACGACTGTTAAATTCTTATGCGAAATGACGTAAATATGAACAAAAACCAAAAATAAACTTTGGGGGACAACAACAATAATAACAAACAATAAGCCACTTTTACAGCTGACACCGACATCCATAATATATGCACACATGTTATCACTTCTATTACAATTGCATTATGCGACATTTGACCAACCTGCATTTTATTTAGTTGGGCTGTGTAAAACCTAGTGATCGAAGGAAACAACCATTATTGTACAGGTGAAACGTAGACTAAATTACGTTATGAATCGTTGATTTGTTCTGACATGTGGAAACAAGTCATCATTCTTTGGGGATGCGTGAATTATCATGTGTGCCAATGTAAAAACGCACTGAGGTAGACAGAGACAGAATAAGTCGGGTTATTTCAACAATAAAAACAAAGCACGACAGAATAGAAACAAACAAACAAATACGAATGTTACTGTGTATTTAAGCCAACCCTCCAGATAATGAACGGGGTTATCGAAATGTCTGATTTGTTGAAGGGTCACATGTACATAAAGCGTTTATTAGATAAATATGCCGGCAGGTGACACAGAAACATAAGTGAAAAATAAAGTTAAGCTTACAACAAAAATAATATAATTCACAAATCTAAAACGTTCGATGCACATGTAAAAAGTACACCGTCCTCAGCCACGACTGTAGTCAATGGAATACGCCCATGTTGGTACAAATACGGCGCAATCCGATAAATTGCGGAGTGCGTTATTCTGCACACTATATTAAAACGTGATAACGAAAAATAATTTCAGTCCATATCCAGATGAAACGAGAGCCATGTGACATCGGGGGCGATCTTCCAAAAATGTCGAAATATGGGGGGGAAAAGACCATAATGGGGTCGGCAATATTTAACTTTTTGCGAAATAAACTTCCTTTCCACATTATTGCCATTTTCATGAGTAGCTTGAACTCACTGTCTATAGCCACGCTGCCACTACAACTTCAATTCAGATCTGTATTTAGGAATTGAAATGGCAGATGGATGACTTGAGCTATTCATGACTAGTTGAAAAAGGTACAAATGGGGAGATAAGGAACTGGTTGTTCAGCTTTATCTATTTTTTCTCCCTCTAAAATTTCAACGAGTATCGCGAACAGTCCATTTTTAAATTAAAGGCGATAGGAACCCAATATCAGGTTTTTATGTAGACGGTAATAATTAGGATACAAACACATTAAATTAACGCAAGAAAGATGCGTAGTAACATGACGTACACTGGTAAGTGGCAATTATCTTGTAAAGCCAGAGTTGAGAATGTTGCTTTTTCCTTCTCACATTTTTATGTATTCAATTCACCAATGATATTCATTGATTGACACAGACCGGGCGATAGCAGAGATATGGATTTGGGCATGGTTTATACAACGCATCTGGGCTACGGACAGGTTCGAAAGTTTACGATTACAGCATTTAAAGAGGCTGGAATTAAAGTCTATGATTGCCTGCTGTATCATCATTACGTTGCCTTTACAAATAGTAAGTATTTATGTATATAAGTTAAACCGAAGAAGGTCAGAATTCTATTTATTTAGTGAATTCGGCACAGGTACTTACCTCGGTTTAGCGGGGTTCTGCTTGTTACTTTGGTTTTACGTGGTTCGGATTGACTATGTACATAGATGATACATATCATTCGAATATAAGCTATTTTGATAACAGGCGATATTTGTTGTAAATTAACAGGCATATGACATATCGGTTGTTATACTGAGGTATAAAGAACGTAAGTCTCAGGCGTTTTATTTACAGTTTTCAAAAATCTTACATTTACATTTTTCTGACTTCTCTTTCATTTAATTAGCCTATATCGCGGTCAAGTTTGATGGTCTTGACTGGAAACAAATCAACGTTTCATCAAGCCCTAATGAAGACTACCAAGTAATGGACAGGCCAGTTGATACGTGGTCCAATACCAATAAGAGAATTTGGACAGCGATGCAGGTTTTGTTATGTTTCTGTTTCTCTGCACAAACAGGAGCGTTATATTTAGTGCAAGCGTTTTGGAGTCACTTGGCCAGTCAATGGGGAAATGCGCCGTTTGTTGGATCTTTGGAGCTTAAGATTTATTTTGTCTGGGTTGTGTTGTCTGCGGTTACACTACCTGCATCACTCTTGATATCGGAACACTATAGACCCACGTTGTCTGAGGTTGGTATCTTGGAACTGAGTCAGCTTGATCTACGATTTGGCAACTTTCATTATCAACCACTAGCCAGTCATTGACGTAGCTGGGGCGTTTACACATTTTGTAATTATTAAACCGGTTTCTCGTATTTTGATTGTTTCCTAGACAGTTCCCGAGTTTTTCTTCTCTATTCAATTAACAGTGTTATTCATGATTGCGGTATGTTTCACAAATGATGTTGCATTTACTATTAGGTCACTAACCAATCAGTCTCACACACATTCAGTTACGCAATGACAGGAAAATGCGACGGCTATTCGCTGTCGTACGCGTAAATCCAACCATACGCGAAACGATATTTCAACTCACATATTTTATCGAAATGAACAAATATCTGATGCTTGGTATCGCAGCGCTGTGTGTAAGCATGATTTTATTCTGTCTGAACATGTTTATAAGGGGATTACGCTTTACCACGATGATATTCTGGCCAGATTTGCTAATGGCGATATTCAACTTTGGTGTGTTCTTACTTTGGGTGTTGATGATTATGATTATATATCCGAGATACTACATAACTGGTTTGGTGGACAACAATACGCTATCAACTAGAGCGCTCAGTCGATTAAGCACATCTGTCGATCGAAAAACTCGAGAAAAGCCTAGCGCAAACGATCGAGTAACTGTAAAACAACCTGTCGATCGAAATACTCGACAACAGCCTAGCGTAAACAATCAGAAATCTATCGATCGGACGCATCAAAGGTGCAACTTTAGTCCAGATTCACATTTAAGTACGGTCGCAGTTGCATGCAGAACTAGTCGTGGCGATCGTACGTCAGTCAATCGAGCTACACGCTCAGATTTAAGGACAGTATTTGAAGGATGACTGAGTTTGGGAGACCCTGTAGAAGCACGAGAATGGAATATTGATTTAATCCAGTTATCTTTACAAGCAGACTGTATAGCAATAATAACTGGAAGTCAAGGTCAATGTTTACTCACATTTTGGCGAGGAACTCGGATAGTAAATAGTTTATATCGAAAACTATCGTTGGGAACAATGTAACACGGTACATAGTCCACAAATGACTGTCTCTTGAGAATTCAGATATTACGAACACTTTTTTTTTGCGTTTTTCGTAATTTGTGTTAACTGCTATGGAAGCGTTATTAGCAGGTTTTGTAAGTATAATAAAGCTCTTACTTTATGTTCGAACAATTCCTCGTCAAATCCTTTTGACAAGTAAAACAATAAGAGTACATGCAAAGTATAATAGAGCTCATTCAACAACAGGAAAATGTCAAGTTTCTTTGATACAGTATTAAACACCGTATTAAAGACTTGGGAGAATTCCCAGGTTGAAGCATCTGTCTATTCTATTCGCGTGTATTACTATTATCAAATAAAGGCCGTGAATGAAAAGTGTGCAGCTTTGTAGATACTTGGGTTGATCCAGAAAATAACTCGTGATGTCGGGATGAGATGTCCAGCGTACCACAATAAAAGTCTAAAAAAAAAACGATGAAATAAAAGGAACTGTTGTCAGTATCTATAATTTACTAATACGTAAATATTTTATTTCGTGTAACATGCTTATTCGTGTAATAATAATAATAATAATAATAATAATAATAATAATAATAATAATAATAATAATAATAATAATAATAATAATAA